TATCACAATAATGATAATAACTTAGTTTACACTAACTAACGTGAGCTCCACTCTACAGACGTTAAAACAAACTCAACTGGGTTTTGTTTTTTTAATTGAAACGAGACTTTAAGTGAATAAACATGATTATTTCAGTTTTACCGCTTTCACGACGCAACGTGTTCGTCTGTTATCAACTTCTTCGCGGCAGCGCGACGACGTCGAGCGAGATAAAAGCGAGTGATTGAACGATCTTCCTGCTGTGGAGGGTAAACGACGAGAGATAAATAAAATAAAACCAGTTTAAATCTCACTCGTACGTCTCATCCGTGTTTGGCGGTAACTGACGTGCCATCCGTCGAATCCCCGCAGCGGTCCCGCCCTTTTTCTGTTAAAGGCGGCCAATGGGAGCTCGGCAAGAGGCGGCGTACCGGAAGTGAAGGCTGTCCCGCGCAGGTGAAGTGTTTTTGAAAAATCCTTGGCGCGGAACGTGTGTACGGGAAACACCGGCGGATCCGCTTTAAACCTTTTAACGCGTCAATGTCTGGTTTGACGTTAACGTGACGGCGAAAGGGACAAAGTTGGAGAAGTGCGTCGGTTTGACGGGAATGGTTCGGGTTCGTGTTTGTGGTCGCGGAGCCGGAGACGAGCGCCCGACGTCCGGTTTGGTTCAGAGGGGAAAACACGTTAAATCAGAAGAAAAGAAAGAAAAAAAAAAACCGGACGATCCGGTTACTTCACAAACAGACACAGTTTAATTCGACAGATTCAAACACGCGACGGAGAATTGCGTTAAGGTTACGCGACCTGTGCGTGAATCCAGCAGTCGGTAACCACAGCGACACCAAAAACCACAGATTCAACCGAGCCAAACTTTCTCTTATTTCTCGAAGGCCAAGAAACGACTCTCAGATGTTTCCAGACTTACCTTCAATCCACGGAACGATCATGTGCTCAGAAGAATCCTCTCATCGTCTCAGTTTGTGCGTCACAGTGTCCAGATGTGAGCTTTAAAACACGAGATCTCAAACTTCTGGGTTTTTTGAAATAAGCGCAGAACTCCAACGTGAAACAGTGAAATATGTTCGAGGCTCTGAGCTTTCTGTGTTTTCATCCCAGTGTTGGTCAAACTTTTACAGCCGAGGAGAAAAGTTCAGTCCCGTGTGTGTGTGTGTGTGTCCAGCAGCGTTTGGCCCCGCCCAGTGTATACATGCTGCCAACGTCACCAAACACCAGCCCCTGCACTTCCGCCATGTCCTCCTCCTCCTCCTCCTCCTCCTCCTCCTCCTCCTCCTCCATGTTTGTAGTCCAGAGTCAGTGATGCAATTATATTTACAATAGATTGCGCATGCACTTTGTTAATTGTTTTGAGAAAGGGCTTCACTGTGGCGTGTGTCTAAATTAATCTGATTATTTGTCATCATCAGATTTTTATATTATATTTGCTGTGCATTGCAACCAGATGTGTTAATGTATCGAACTTCATTTACTTGCTATGACCTTTTTTTCAAAGTACTCTTAAGGATTTATAGAAAATGTGAAGACGATTCAGGCCTGTTGGATTTTTACAAGCCTCTGTGTCTATTTGCAGTAAAACAGAGTGAAACATGCTCTGCGCTCTTTTAGCAGCAGTGGAAAACGTGCCTGGAAACAAATATGTGGCTGTTTGGTTTAAAACAGCTGTGAATCGTGCATCACATTCACGTGCACAGATGCACAAGGTAACCACACCACAGTAAATAACCGAATTAACATAATTGTTTGATCGAAGCATTCGCACGGTTTGCAGTAAACTTAGGTTTACGTGATTTAATTAACAGGCAAAGATGTTTGGCTGCCCACAGGAAACATTTTAGCAACTGTCCAGGTAATATGATCATTTACCTCACGGTCCTTAAAAGCCCCTGGTTATCAGAACGTCACTGGACTTTGGTAACTTGATGAATTGGGAATTTGCACCTCTGAAATATCAAACAAGTCAGGTCTTGCATTATTAATTATATTTTGTCCTGCTCTGTAGATGGAGCCTGTGTCAAAATCTAGCTTGGTGCCGGGGCCATGTAGACGGAGCTATTATTCCAGTACAGAAAAGGTTTCTGGGTAAATAATGTAGCCGCCGTGTACAAATAGCCTTTTGTGTTTACCGGTGACAGGGCACATAAATAATTCACAGGGAGCTGTCGGTGTGTGAGGTGGAGGTGCAGCAGCTAATGTTTACCCTAAACCCCCCTGATCTGCTCAAGCTGCCCACAGTGTCGTAAATTCAGGCCCAGTCTCATTTTTAAATGTCGACTACTGAGTTGCGGAGAAAGACTGTTTCCAATAGACCACAGCGCACGACTTCATTATTGCACTTGTCATTTAAATAAATCAGACCATGTTCTTGCATGTGAATAAAGTCCAGTTAAATGCGTGGCCCATTCCTGTTTGGGATTACAAGACACCCATGATTTTGAAAAACACGCATCACACCATCTTCTGGTAAAATAAAAACAAGAAAGAAAAAGAGAAAACGTATTACACGCAGAACTATAACAAGTCAAAATGTCTCTTGTTGCAGGTTTTCCTCAAGAAAACATGCGTAACATATTTTATCCAAGTAGTCGCTGACGTGTCTCTGTCTTGACGCTAGGTGGCGCTACAGCCCTCCTCACTGGTACATCACCATGGAAACCGACGGGGACCTTCAAGGATGTTGGGAGAAAACACTTTCGAGCTCGAAGCATCCAGTGACGTAATGTTACCGGTGTGAGAACGAGGACCCTGATGCTGCCTTCACGTACTGCTCGTCAATTTGACCTAACCTCTCCAACTGGGTGAGTACAGCACCTTGCAGGGCTTTGATGAGTTTGTCTGCACATGAAGAAACAATGAGTAACAGTGGTGAATATGTCTGAGAATACTGAACATTAATACTTTTTTCGATGGAGAAAAATGTCCCTCACTCACAAAGTTTTTCAAAGTGATGACACAAATTCTGTTTTAATCAAAACATGACCACAACAACCATCAATTACTGAAACCAGATCCACACTGTTGCAGCACCAGTCTGTTGATTAATACAAAATCAGTTCAGCATAAGAAATAAGTTTTCCTATAACTTTTTGACATGTAGGTTTGTATCTGTGCTAAGTTAATTTGTTAATTATGTCATTGATGACATGTTTAAGTTTTTTCGCTTTGTGTGGCTCAAGTGTCCATGCTCCATATCAGCCAACTGGGATGTAAGCATTATGGAAAACAAATGAGTTTGAAAGAACATTTGAAACAATTAAAAGAGGAAATAGTTTGTGCTGCAAAAGAAAACGTGATGCGCCAGTGTTTTTAAAATGTGCTTCTTTCCGACAGTCCGTGAAGGCAGCAGCTGGCCGCTCGGCTCAGCAGCCGGAGGAGAGGAGAGAGAGAGAGAGAGACAGGAGGAGAGGACAGAGACAGACAGGAGGAGAGGACAGAGAGACAGGGAGCATCATCTCCACAGACAGAGACGGAGCGGTGCGGGGTGAGCATCTTTTCTTTCTGCAGAAACTTGTGTTGTTTTCCTCCTCCCGGTGCGTTTTGTGTCCGTGGATCCAGACCTTTACGCACAGTTCCCAGAGAAGCTCGCGGCTGCAGCTCACTGAGTTCTCGCACATTCTCCTGCAGAGATGCTGCAGCAGCTCCGAGCTTCTGCGAGCGACTGGTTCCACGTCTCAACTCTTCACTTAGTGTTTTGTCCGTCGTCAAACCGAGGAGGGGAAACGTGTTTGCTTCCATTTGCAGGAACTGCGTCGCACGATGGAAAGTTTGCAAACGATGAAAAGTGAGAAAGTTGTGTTTGTGAAAAGCTCCACACCTGCAGGAACTAGCTGTAGACTGAACTATGTCCTGAAGGCAGTGGATGGTGAAGACAACTCTCAACTTTCAATGCACACTGCGGTGTTTTATTGGCTGCAAATCCCACATTAAAACTAAAACATTCATTCTTCTGTGCCACATAGATCTTAGAGTTTTTTGTCCTGAAAATTCACAAATTCCCGTCTTTTAGTCACATTTGTAAAAAAACTACAGTGTCCAGCTGTTTTAGAAACGTACCTTTCAATCAAACTGTTTCTTGTAAAGCAAGAAGTAAGAATAAGATAAAATATTTAGACTTTCTGTAAATGAAATACCATAAAATAGATTTATAAAGATTCCCATTCCATCAGTATTTTTCATGATGCCTGTGCTGCTTCCTAAAGACAAGTTGGGGAATTTGTAAAGTATTGAGAGATGAACTAATTCAATTGTGTTTTTTTTTGGTCTTTTCATTGGATTTGTTGACAATAATAAAAAATATTGAATTTCATGAGTCCTAAACTATGAAATAATTTCAGTTTACTCTAAGTTCTTTGAAAACACAGCTTTTTCAATAACATTTCTATTTGACTCTGTTTTTCTCAAGCACTTGTTCCCTGTCAGGACGCAACACTCGCAACACCAGCTTTCACACATCTGCCTTTGCTGCACATCTTTTTTTATTTTTTTATTGCCTTTCTTTTATTTACACTTGTGGATGCTTCCTGGAAAACTGAAGTCTACCCATTTTGCTGCACAGACACAGAATCCTGCCCTCGTCTTCTTCCCAGCGTCAGATGGATCACGATGATCACACCCTCCTTTAGGATCCCATGATGTTTCAGGCAGAGAAAACCATCCTGTTTGTCTTCAGTTCCTGTTTTCTGCCCTGATGCTGCAGCCTCTCGTGTCCAATAGCTGTGAAGAAAGAGCATCGAGGAAGGATATGACTGAGACGCGGCATGTTGCCGAGCTCGGATCCCCCTGGAGATTGGGTGCCGTTTTTTTCATGAAGCAAAGTTGATGGACAGACCATTTTTGCTTTTGTATTTTTTTGGGATAGACATTCATGCACCACAACTGGGATCCACGCGGGAAGGGGACTGAAATACTCTGAGCAGGTATTTCCCTTCAATCCCAGAAAGGATATTTTTCGCCGTGGAAGAGTCCGAGAACTCACTCACTTATGGGAAGATGGAGGCAGGAGCAGAGGCGAGTCCACAGCAGCACCAGAGGAGGAAAGCTGTGCTGCACGGCTTGGAGGACCAGAAAAGGGTGAGTCGAGGAATGATCCTCGTTATCCTCCAGATGTTTGCATCTGCACTGTGCTGTGTGACGCACGATGAGGCTGAGTCAGGGCTTTGAAAGTTGGGTTTGAGTGTTGACAGTTAAATCTGGATTGGTTGATGCACAGGCAGCGTGAACAGCACAGGTACTGCTTCCTGAGAGGATATTTTAAGAAACATTTTCTGGTTCATCTAAATCAGTTTCCATGACGACTTCGTGCTAAAACAAATGTTTTTAAAGCGTCTCCTGACCTCCCAGCTTCTTTGAAATTCTAAATTTACATAATCAGCTTTTAACAAAACAGATTTAAACCAGGTTGTTTAGTTGCAAAAATACAAAATAACCCTTTGCTGGGTCAGGGATGACTTTTCAATATCTGCATCCTGACCTCGTCTGACCTTCATCACTTTCACCACAGAAAGCAGAACCGCGTTGATTAAAAGCCGAAGCGTGTGTGAAGCGCTGAGGCATCTTGTTAAGTCTTCTTTGATGCTTTGTGGTTTTGTAGAATTACTTCAGCAGCCTGCACTAAGATTGATGGACGACTTAATACCGCTGCTCATTTTCCCGGTTTCAGCTTCGCTCTGCATTTTCCACATGATGTTGATGTAGTGCCGTTGTTGTACACAAACCCCACAGCGCTCTGCTCTTCATGGTTTGACTTTATATAGAGATTTTGAGAAACCTGACGGTTCCTTGGGTGTGTGAACCCTCTCAATGCTTTTCCTGCAGCAAAGCTTTTTTAGTCATCGCTCTGTTTACAGTGTTTTTACAGCTCAGGCAGGAGGGATCCCCAAGTCCTCTGAGGGGGGGGGGACCTCATCTGTATGGGGTCCACCTCTCGGGGCAGGTGAGGATTAGACAGCATGGATGGTGGAGTTTGGTCACTGCTGAGTCTGCTTCTTTTTTTTCAAACTGTGTGGAGATATGTTCTTGTCTGCTAAAGGTGCTGTCAGGGGTTACAGTCCTTTTTCTCATTTCTTCCCCATCTTCTCTCACCTCCCCCTCCCCCTGTGAATTATTGATTTGATCAGGTGTGTTAAATTAGTCACTCGGGATTATGTACAACATGAATATTAATTGATCGACCAAAGTCCCAGCTGCTGTTTTCCAATTTTCCAGACTGTCGAGCTTCTCTCTGGAAGCTAAGTGACACGCTGAGCCGCAGAAAGACTTTAGCGTCTCTGTCAAGTGTTTGGATGCAGTGTGACACTATTCACAAACTCTCGTCCAATTTTTATTTTTTTGTTTTGTGGCCTGTCCGATTTATCACTTAGCCAACATAATCTGCCAATATCAGATTTTGAGAAACTGCTTTTACTTTACTTTCTTATTTCAGCTTCTATATATTTGTTTTTTTTTATTGTGTTTTCTTTTTATTTATAATAAAGTTCATAAATCGATATATCGAGCCTAAATTACTTATTTTTTTCAAAGGGGTTTGATGATGACAGGTATCACTACCAATGTTTTTTAAAGACATATATTATTTAACATATATGTCGGTATTTTAAATTTTACTCCCAAATATCGGAATCTGTAAATCTCTCAGGCTCTACAACACCCTGATATGATTCATAAAGTTTTGTTGCTCAGAGAGTTATCAGCAGCGACATGTCTAGATTTCGTCAGTAGCCTCACATGCGAAGGCATCATCAGTCCAGACGGGGCCCGCCGCTCTCCAGGGAAGAGAGGCTGCGCCAGACTGAGCCAATACTCACCTTCCCTCTTAATGGACATCAGCCGACTTAAATAAATTGAAAGCACTGAGGTAGTAATGTGGACACACGGGCGCTCATTGTTGGAGAATTACCCCAGACTCCCATGCAGCAAGATTCAATGTCCCTCGACAATTACCTCGGCCGTGTGAGTTCAAGATCCTATATGTGATACTCGCCCCAGTAGGAGGTAATTGGATTTTGTTCTCGTTGTGGATTTACTCTCTCGCATGTCCCCTGCTCCATATATAAATGTTCATTGAGTAGCAATCATGGAGAGCGTTAGAGGAGAATCAGAGATGTATTATGATGATGTGACACCGGGCTCAGGGTTTGATAGAGCAGAACTACGGACGATCAGATAGATTAGTTTTTGTGATCTTCCTGTTTTACGTCTTTGTTTCTTTCCATTTGATCTGGTTAGTTCTTGTTTTTTCCTTAAAAGCTTGAATCTTTTTTGTGTTTCTCATGATTATCCAGTTAAAAGCAGGTGAATGCTGGGTTTTATTGCTGCTGACCAAGAGGTCCTAAATGGGAATTTATTATTTCAGCAGATGATATTTTGGCAGAGGAGGACCAGTGCAACCACTCTGGGCCAAATCTGAGAAATCTCACAGAAGAGAAAGGGTTCAAGATATAAGGTTTTGAACTCTTTCCAAAGTTATCATCAGGTAATTAGATAACCTGAAGAATGTCATGTTGTAAATCTAAGGAAAAGCCACCACCTTTCTTCGTTAAGTTGCTTTTAATGTGACAGTCGCACCATACACTACATATTCATCATTTCTGATTCCTGCATTGCGCCTCCCGTCTATCGCAGACTTGTGAGAGCCAGCGTGAAATTAAGACTGAGAAAGACTGAGGTGCCGGTGAACTCCAGGTCTAGCAGGCACGTTTCATTTATTGGAGCACAGTCAAAGAAAAGGAGCACTGAGCTGATCTTTGATTAGCAATGACTGTGCAGTGAATTGGACAGCTGGCATATCCCCTCCTCTCATTCAGCCTGGTTCAGCAGAAAGCGCTCTGAACTCTGAATTAATGAACTGATCTTTGATTTATATCCTGACCTCACCGAGTTGCAGATTTACAGCGCTAATACTGAATATCATCCACAGCCAAGCTTTGTGAAGTTGAGATATTGCAAGTTCTTTAAATACAGATACAGTTCGCGATACCTGGACTTTTGCGTATCTGCAGATTCCAAGTATCGTTCTGATACCAGTGCATTTAAAAAAAATAAAGGATATAACGTGTTGTGAAAGCTGTATGCTGCTAACCCTGTGTTGAAATGCTGATGGCCTTATTGTGTGGCCTGGCTGAGGTTAAACCCTGAATACAATAGAACTTCTTTTAGTCTCTAGTTTTATTCTCTTAGTCATAACTGCACAAATCATCAAATCTAGGAACACACAACAATCAGCTCACTAAGTTTCTTGGTTATCTTTCTTGGTTTGGGTTGTTTTTATCGAATTCATTGCTTCATTTGAATTTGGTTTCCAAAGTTTGTAGTTGCAGTTTGTACCTTTTCCCCTTTGTGCTCTTTTGTGTGATGGTTCGCATGTAGTACACGTTTTGCCGTTTTACTCTGGCAAGAGCTGTTTGTAGAAGAAGAAGAAGAAGAGGTGATTTCCCCTAAAAGAAAATTGCAGTTTTATCTGGGTAAAACGTATACTTGAAAGATGATGGGTACTTAGATATATGCGTACTTGCCTGACCCGGGATTTTCTGCAATATATGGGAGGCATTTCTGATGTTGGTATGGGAACATCTCTATTTTTTAAACAGGCTACTTGGCAGGACACTAATTGTGCAAGAACAAAAAATGTATGTTTTTAAAGTAAAGATCAAATCTCTATCCAGAGTGAAACAGATGACAGAGGGCACTGAGGAGGTGAAGGAGAGTGCTCTGTAATGGAATCCATCTTTGATTCAGCTCAATGAGAATGAAAGGGAATGTGACACTAATTGTGCAAACAGAGCCATTGCATATTATGTATTTATTTCCACCAGTCTAGTTTGTGACTGCTCATTAAGAGGCGTTTGATACGGTTGGATGGGGTCCTGTAGGATAATGAGGTATTTACAGCGGATGTGTCTGCTGCCGACTGTTCTGCTGCAGTAATTCTGTTACAGCCTCATAATTAGTTAAGAGACACAGATGAGTGGGAAAACCTACATGGCTCAAGATGGACTTAGTCCTGAGGCTCAGGATACAGGTCTTACTCTGGTTAGTGAGCTTCACAGTGTCTTTCCATGGCTTCTGTGATGTGGGACGTGATGATGAGACATTGGCCTATTAATAGTCAAACTGACAAGGACTTTGTTATGTATGGGACAATTATAATTGGTTAATTAGTTCTTGAAGCAATAAAAAACCTGGCTCGAACAAAAACCAAATAGAAAATTATCATTATCAATTTACCAAAAGTGATGTTCGAAGGAATAACACACAATTTGTATTCAGATGTATGTATTACAGGCTTACTTTACTGATAAGCACTACTTCAGATAGTCTAGATAGATAGATCAATAAATCAGATCTTTAAACAACCTGTGCGCTGTTTGCTTTGGTAAATCCAGATTACAGTATCTGATGATACTTGACAGGATTTATTGACAAAATGGCTAAATTGATCAGAAATGTTGATCTTCTTGCTCAGAATCAATTCACACTGTAACAATTGATGTTCATGCTTTTGATTACAGCATACGCCTCAGTTTTGTCAAATTAATCTGCTCGTAAAGATAATCAACAGAGGAGTTATTTGCTGTTTCCTCCACAGTGTTTCCTCCAGCAGTGGACAGTTAGCCAGACATATGGGCAAGGTCACCGCAGCCGTACCCTCCCGTGAGCTGCCAACCTGTTCATTAGGACGGCAACATCTGTGCCAACTACCGCTCTCAGTAGTGCAGTCATCACCCTCGTGCATTGTGCATTGTTCTCTTAATCAAACAAACAAACTGTGTGCACATTCTCAACCAGTTGCGATCATCTCTTTCTCATACCTGAACAGATCTGAAAGATCTTTTTGCTGGATTCAGAATCCCAGGTTGAGACTTGGCGATCACCTCTCATGTCTCCACTGGTACGTTGGCCTGCAGCCGAGTTATGGAGAGCGACTGCAGAGGTGACAATTTGTCATTGACAGGGTTTGATTGATTGCGTATGCCAGCAGCCGCGCAGGGCTGGTATCTGAAACTAATTGAATGTAATATCAGGGAGATAGGAGAGGGTGATGACAAACGAGCAGCCTTGTGAGATTGTTTAAA